TTCACACTAGTGGCGGGGGGGGAAGAAATCTGAGGACCAGGCAGTTGTATACTTTAGTTATAATGAATGGCTTCATGTTAATCTTGCTAGTTTAGACGATTTCTGAGGGGAAGTATTGTAACTGGTTCTTTTTCCATAATCCTGTTGTGTTTGAATTATTTGTACTTTATCTGTCCAGACAATAAATGAAAGTGTGTAGAATGGATCTGAGCTTCCCAGATTTTTAAATGTGTTCATTCAAACTTTTTTTTTCCTGTAGCATCTTCAGCTTTCCCCAAGTAATTTTGTCATTAAACAAAAAGGGTAGAGTAAAACTCTGTTTCACTAAGTTGCAAAAGTCAACTCAGTATTCAAAAGTCATTGCCCTAGTTCCGTGGCACTAAAAGTATGATCTTCAAGCGGCAGTATCTGCAGCGTCTGGGAGTTGTTAAAATGCAGACTCTCGGGCCAAATGCGAATCTATATTTAACCGGAATCCCAGGTGAATCGCCGATACTTTACAGTGTGAGGAACACGGCCTTGGTTATTAAGAAGCTGGCACATTGGCCATTATGTTTGGCATTATGCTACGTTCGTTCGTGCCTGTTCCTCATTTATAAGCATACTTGTGTCTTGTTCAGATGAAAGGGAGTCACCATTTGCAGATCACTGATTATTATGGGCTGTGTAGTGGCCTCTGCATTCTCTCACTTTCTCCTCCAGTGATCTGAGAGGAGATAGCACTGTCCTCATTTCACAGGCGGTAATACTGAGGCTCAGTTTCCCGCTTGGGTCTGTCTGAATCCAATGGATTCTCCCACACAGCGCCTAGGGTGTGAGAGGCAGAGTTTGAGCATAATTAAGGGAACGCACCATTTGTACTCAGAGCTAAACAAGAAAGGTCACTTTTTTATTCTTGCATTCAATTTTGCTTAGAAACAGCATATATTTTACTTTCTTCCCTTTGAATAGAAACCCTGACCAAGGACTTATTCAGACAGTGAATAAAGAACATGATTGAAACTCAACCTAGGAAGGAAGAGTTGCCTAAGGTATCATGAAGTCATATTGAAATATGCCTTGAACTTTACAGATGAGCTTTTTAGGGGTTTCCTGATACAATCACTCACTGAGGATCTACTGTCTGTCTTTCACTTTCATTTTCTCACTAATTGAAAATTCATAATCCCCGTAAAACATCACCATCCAGAAACTGACACTTGAAGCAGAAATACCCGCAATGAAGCAGATGAAGGAATAGTCAGGTTCTCTTCCCTTTTTTATTAGCCCCTTTATTATTATTATATTAAATTACCTCAATGGTTGGGATAATTAATTTCAGGACAAAGAATGGTACTTAATTAGCCAAGCTAAATATTAAAACTCCATCAACCTGAACTTCATAGTTGAACTTAAAGGTTTTTACTTTAGTTTTACCTTAAAGGCCTTACGTTTCTTTTCTGAAGAAAACTGAGCATTCAAACTAATGATTGCGCACAGGAACAACAGAGCTTCACAAATGTGTGTGGTATCTAAAAATATTGAGGGCACTTGAGAGGATACACTACTTCAGAATATTGAAAGTTGGTGGAATCTTACCAGTTCCATACAATTCATTCCCCAGCCTTTAACAGATCTATCCTGAAAGTTACACACAAAAAACTGTGAGTATGTAAGTAGGTCTTTAAAATATCCAAGGAAGAACATTCTGCTTATACTCTCTTGGCAACACTTTCCAACACCAGCACAACGTGTCTGCCTACCAGCTAATGAAACATTCATCTTGCTGTGAGTGTGAACCTGTTACCTTCAATCTCCAAGCAAATATTATATGTTTGTTGGAAAGGTCTAACAAAATCACAAGAATGCAGGGATTATTAAATTTCTTTTAGGTCCTCAGTACATTATAGTGTGCGGGGATGAAAAATTGCATGCCAAAGAAGACTGAAGGCATTTAGTTAGTGCTATTTCTGTCAAAAAGATAGGCAGGGAAGATCATCAAAAGCACGTGATTGCATCTGTAACCATCCCACATCATCAATGTCAGCATCAGAACTGCTCACATAGGTCACTAAGGATCAAACACTGACCGGGTGATGTGGATAGCCAGAAATTTTCACTAAATCAGATCCTGTTTGTTTTCTTAAAATATATTTTTATTGATTTCAACAAGGAAGAGAGAGGGGAAAAACACCGATGATGAGATAGAATCATTGATTGGCTGCTTCCTGCACGCCCCACACTGGGGATTGAGCCTGCAACCCATGCAACCCAACCCTGACTGGGAATGAATCCTTGATCTCCTTGTTCATAGGTTAAGGCTCAACCAATGCTGGCTGGGCGAGGTCCTGTTTACATTTCTTTAATCAACATCAATCATTATTTGTTTGCATGTAAATAAAACATTTAAATGCCAACGAACATTTGTGGTTTAAAAGTACATTTGTGAATTTAAAAGTACAATTGAAACTCACAAAGTCTTGTGAGGCCTCTACTCAGGGTCTGGCTAACCTTGTCAAAA